GCTCTAAACCAATACAGTGAAGTGCACAAATATGACAGCCGAAACCACAAAATTAACCAAAGTCACTAGGTATTACTAATAACCTATGACTGCAAATGATCTGAAGTGCAGTTGACAATATAACTTAGTTATAAGAAACAATAAAAACTAACGAATAGTCATGAAAGCACGACCTTCGCGACTGACAAAAGGCGCTAAGGTGTCTAAGCCACGACATTCCACAGGACTATGAAGGCGGATGGCACGCAGATGTGTGTCACGACCATTTTGATGGTTAGCTGAAATGGCAATCTGTAAAAGAAAGGTTCGTAACGGAGATCCATCAGGCCAGTTTAGTGGAATCACTGACCACCCAGTAGGTTCCTGTAGTTCCACCTCTAGAAGTTCGATAAGATCGTGTATAGTATTCCCAACTCGTATGGCCAACCTGGAAAAGGAAATTAAAAAATCGACAATGTAGTTAGTAATGGTAAGATTCATTATTATATCTTATCAATAGTAACAATAAAATCAAGGTAAAAACGGATCGGAAGATGTGACGATAAGCAACTAACAGAAAGGCTGTAATAAACGAACACTCACATGGACATAACCAATTTATTATTTCATATGAAATTACAGAAGGTCCTTGTAAAATATGAAAACCATACATTAAACGCTTCATTTGCAAATCCTCCGTCAATTGTCCTTTACATTATCTTTGATTCATCCAATTCACAGTTCCTTTCTATTTCCCTTTCTGTTTTCTTCAATCCAATCTTCTTAGCCTTCTGCTGCCAGTCCTTCCACTTTTGATTGGTGCTACATGCTTCTTATGTTGACAGAAATAAGTAGCATACACGACGTATTGAGTGTGGTAAGGAAGATATTAGGATCGCAGTAATGCTACGTTGACGAAAGCAAGCTCGAGAGGAATAAACGTCCTGGGCTCTGATAGATGAATATAGAACATGTTCCCTTTTATTTACAGTTTGCTGGCTGAGTCGAATATCTAATGCATTACAGTTGTAGATTTCACCAGGGTTCTGATACACTAATTATAGTCTATCGCCCCAAAGCCGAGTTAGAGTCCATGCGAACAACCTGAATTGAAATGCAGATATATCCACCCGAAGATTCCTAATACCCAAATATTGATATCTGAACCTAAGTTATTTAAAATCCTGAGTAAATACACTGTTTACAAATTACTGAGACCGAATATAACTCCTCATCTAGTGTTATTGCATGCACAAATTCCGGTAGCCAATGAATCCCCTGATAAACTGTTAAGAAGGTATTTGAGTGAGATATAGGCTCAAACATCTGTTTTTATGTTGTTTTTTTTTGATAATTTTAGTGACGTATAGAAGTTATCTACTACATTGACTATGATATTTATTGTCATGAATTATAATGCTCACAATTTATATTATGAACATGTATATTCACAAAAAATATTATGTGAGATCAGATTTTACTTTAAACACTGACCTACTAGGTGTATAACTTTCATCAACTTTGTAATCAGTGTATAAACATAATTTTGAAAGAACCATTTTTCGGGGAAATTGTATATTAACACAATGTGGTTGTGGACCATCTGATTGCCAAAATGTATCAGTAGATTCACTCAACAATTGGTCGATACCATGACCTGGTTTGCATGAAGAAAGACTCCAAACAGCATGATCACATACATCACGAACCTTGTGAAATTGAGAAATAATTTTATGAGTAAGCTACTGATAATCAAAATGAAGTAGTTATAAAAGTAATACACCATAATAATTGACAACTACAGAAGTATCAGAAGGGGTTTTGTGGAGATTGTAGTAATTTCCAATAGTTGAGATCATGAGTTAAATGAAGCTAAACCACTATGGAAAACCTAGAGGCGGGGTCGTGGATGCGCACTGTTGAGGAGTCCCACGATAGGACGAAACGACCGTCCAGTGTTTCAGGTTTTTCATGGTGGTATAGCTTCAATCGACTCATGATCTCATCTATTGAAATAACTACATAAGTAACATAACAAGCACAACCACTTTATAACTTTTACAAACCTTTAATTTGTCACTCAATAAAATACGCCCTGTTTTAGCTATCAAATAATTTCTTCTTACAGGTAAAAAAAGAAAAGATGGTAATTAATTCTCTTTCAATGGATTACATTATACCCGACACCTCAAATAATCGATCTATAAAAGTGATTTACCGAACTTCTATCAGTTACTCAATTCCATCCGTAGCCCTTCCAGATTTAGTCCTGGTTCGAAGCCCGAAATGGACAACAACGGGTATAAAGATACCATGAGATGACATGGACTGGGAGAAAGAAACGAGAATGGTGACAGATTCACAAGTTTATGTGCATTCAACCAAATGATAATAGGCGGCACAATATTCCTACAAAAACGTGTACACACCCTAGACAAGATTAAAGGAAGAACAAGAAGATAGTAGTTAACAACAATCGAACAAGAACAGAGAAAATCAAGGCACAAACCAAATACACAGAAGCCAACAAGAGAGTGAAGAGGAGCATTAAAGCTGACAAGCTGAAATACGTGAAAGACATAGCAGCGACAGCGCAATAAGCTGCAAACGAAGGAAATTTGATACAACGAAAAAACTAGCAAGGAAACATTATGAATCAGAGCGACTAGTCAAAAATAAAAAATGCAGGACAGTCACTGAGATTCAAGAACAAGCGCAATAAATAGGTAGAGAACTTTGAAAAACTCTTGAATAGACTAGCCCCAAACAACCCACCAGACAATGAAACAGCACACACAAGTCTACCTATATATGTCGCACCACCAACAATCGAAATCAGGATGGTCATCAGACAAATAAAGTGTGGGCAAGCAGCAGGACCTGATAATATAGCACTTGAAGCTCTGAAGTTAGACATAGAAGCAACTGCATACGTGCTTCACGTTTTATTCAGGGAGATTTGAGAGGAATAACAAGTCCCACAGATAGACTGGGAAGGACTGTAGAGGCAAATTTCTCTTATATCTGACTGCAATAAATGATATCCCGTTAACTAAGTATTTAACGCTGGCTAAATCTCCTAGTAGAGTTATGGATTTACTCGAGATTATTCAGAAGCCTGAACACCAGTTGTAGAGATATTTTATTGTTAAAGATTAATAAGATCCGCAAGCGTACAGAAAGCAAGCACACAGTGAAACCAAGAATGTGTGTGTATCTGAGTGTTAAAAATCCATATATATTTATGAGTCATAATCAAGTGTGGATAAATTATTGATTGTCTGTGTATTACAACCAATGGGAGAATAGATTAACGTTGATGTGCAACATGTGTTCAATCAGACGCACACAGAAATTTACATAGTGGATTAAGTGTGTAAATTACAGTGAGTAAATAAATGATACAGTAGTTGAATGGGCTTACTACAGGACACCTCATCAAGATACCAAAGAAAGGTGATCTGAGCAAATGTGAGAACTACACAGACATCACACTACTGTCAGTACCAGGAAACGTTTTCAAGTGTTGCTAAACCGGATGAAAGACGCAGTAGACATCCAACTTCTAGATCAACAGGCTGGATTCCGTAAGGATTAGTCGTGCACAGACCAAACCGCGATAGTACGGATCATTGTTGAACAATCGGTTGAATGGAACTCGTCACTATACATAAATTTCAATGACCATGAGAAGGAAGTTGACAGTGCGGATAGGAGAACCGTATGAAAACTTCCTCGACACTATGGTGTACCTGAGATTTTCAATTTCATACGACGGACTGCAATGTAAAGTAAGGCATGCAGGAAAGTTGGCAGATGCATTTCAAGTGAGGATTGGAGTAAGGCAATGCTGCTTACTCTCTCTCCTTCCCTTTCTTCCGATGGTTGACTGGATTACGAAAATCTCTACATCAAAAAGGAAGCACGAAATACAATAGACAGATTAGATACAACTAGACGATTTGGACTTCGAACATAACCCAGCTCTTCTATCTTATACACACGAACAAATACAAATGAAAACAACTAGCATAGCAGCGATCTGTGCATCAGTAGGCCTCAAAATACACAACAGATAAAGCAAGATCCTGAAATACCACCCAACCTCATCGCACTTAATGCAGAAACAATGGAAAAGGCGGAAACTCAGCATCATAGAAAAACAAGGAGGAGCTGATATACATGTAAAGGTATGGATTGATAAAGCAAGGGCACCATTCCTACAATAAAAGAACATATGAAACTCAAAACAGCTGTCAAACAAAATCAAACTCAGAATCTCCAACACGAACATCGCGACAATTCTAGTGTACGAAGCTGAAACTATGAGAATATCACAACCATCGTCAAAAAAGTACAAGTATTTATAAACAGTTGTCTACGCAAGATACCCAAAATCCGTTGACCAGATATCATTAGCAACAACCTACTGTGGGAGCGAACAAACCAACTTTCAGATGAAGAGGAAATCGGGAAATGACGCTGGAAGTGCATAGGACATACATTGCTGAAATCAACAAACTACGTAACGAGACAAGCGCTAACTTGGAATCCTGAAGGGGAAAGGAAAAGAGGAAGCCTAAAGAACACATTACATCGAGAATCAGAGGCAGATATCAAAGGAATGAACAGTGATTGAAATAAACTGGAAAGGAGAGCCCAGGATAGAGTTGGTTGGATAATCCTGACCGGCGGCCTATGTTTCACGAGGAGTATGTAACTAAATATCGGTTACCCAACTTTTTATTTCTCTTAATCCATTAATTGCACCGTATACAAATGATTTTAGGTTAGTTAACATGGAATAAAAACACTCACTTTTCCATCGCGTTCATCTTTCGTCACATCGAAATTGGATATGGCTTTCAGCTTAAAAGGCATTCATAAATTCTAGAAGATAAAACATATAAAGTGTTTACATAACTGTAAGATTAAAAAACCGAATACACAAAAAACCAACTAAGAAATAATACTATATTTTACAATAACTTTAATAATGTAGATACAAAATGACATGAACTTTATTTAGATCGCGTTGTAATAGCTCCGACTGCAGAATCACTTCCAGACGAATGACGATGTTTACGAGGCAGTGGACTAGAAGGAGACGAACCCTGAAAAAAAATGAAACAGAAATATAGGGCTTCATAAACAAAATAAAACATATGTTCTAAAAATGCGAATAAAAACATTGATTTCATCCATACTTTATAGGGACACTGAGAGATCTGTAAGAACAGCTTCACGAAAATTGGACATCACGTATACACACGCGAAATTGTTAGGATGACTCATACTCTCACTATATACAAAATCAAGACAAACACAATTGAAGAACTTTTTGGCACAAAATTGTTTACGAATCTAATAATCTTGATTATTTGGTGAAGTTTGGGTTAGATTGACAAGCGAAAAGCCTGTACTGTTTAAATTTTAATTTCTCAGATAACTAATAAAATCCTGAAATTTGTTACAAGAATGGTGAATGAGGACGAGTCAGCTCAAGATGAGAATTCAAGTGAATTCCTGATTATCTTAAATTAACTTTCTCATCGTTAATAAATATGATTCATGTGTCATGAGAATTTATTTCGTACAGATTTAGTCAAATGGTGATCAAAATATCAACATATGTGAAAAGTTTAAATAAATAACTAAAACCTAAGTTTCTTAATAGCACTTTTTAGCAACAAATTTTTGTACATGAAATTGAATTCAGTATACTAGTGAAGATGAAGCTTTTACAACAGTTTATTTAGGAAGTAAGCTTTATGGTGCAATAATCATTTCTGTCCGGGCATCTTGAGTACATAACTTTACGATCCTATTGAAGTGACTACGAAACATTAGCTATACTACATTAATGCCAAAAAATACAACTGCAGAGTCCTTACGTAAGAATCATGTGAAATTGATATTTCAAATGTTAATTGTATGTATCGCAAATGATCTTTCGATAGGGTGCAATGTACCTGAGGCACATGAGATAAAAGAGCGGGGAAGTCTAACGAACCATACGCTATTAAAACTCCTTTAGGGTGGACGTTATTTGGACCTTACAGTGAGATCACAAGAAATATGAGTGTTATAAATTATCTATCGTCCAAAGATGAACTAGTAACTAGATTAGATCAATTATATAAATAGCCTAATTTAGAAAAGTTTGCGAACACTGTAGCCCACGTATTAACAGAAGATTTCGGAACCCCAAGATGCAATGATGAGTTTCTAGATCGAATTCGTATGTGTAAGTCGTGGCCCAGACTACTAAGGTACCCTATCAGTCCTTTGACATCTTCGTTGCGAACTCTTGGAAGGGTCATACCGCGCAAATGAGACCATGATACCATCTGAGATGTCGTTGGTACCGTCCGACGCAACATAGGCAATCTCTTAACTGTCCATACATTTGGGATTCTAAATGATGAAGACGAATCTAAGGAGGAAATTTCTAGTCGGACCTCCTTACAATGAAATGTGGACTGATTATCCAGCATTTTCAATAAAATCATCTTGGAATCTCCTTCTAAACCCAACCTTCTAGCTAAATCTTTTGTAATAAGCGAAGCGTCTGAGCCACTATCTAGGAAAGCGCAAGTCTGTACTGCTTTTTCTCCATTTTTTTACCAATAAAGGCACTATTGCAAATGCTACTTGTTTCTGTACACACTTAACACTTTCCTCCGTACATAGTTGGGTATTAATGTGGGCATTAATATTACTATCTCTCTACTCTTCCCGCTTCTCGTGTAACAGAGTATGGTGTCTTCAGCCACACCCTTCAACAGCACGTGACCTCGGTGATCGAACATTTTTCGCCACATGGTTTGCCTTCAGACAAATGTTACATAACGTATGCCTAAAGACGAATTCTTTCCTTTCTCTAACATTTCTGTCGTTGAACTTCTGGCATTGATCTAAAGAAGGATTGCTTGAGCACTACATAAGGGGACGTTGCCATCACTAGTACTCGTATATGATATCCCTGCTGCATTGTAATTTGCATTAATTTTCCCTTTCGAAACGTCAACATCCCTTTTATCACTATTATTACCGCGGGTGACAAGTAGGCCGTATCTGGTATTAGCTATATCTGACTGTTCCTTTACAAATTCGCAGAGGTCCTTGAATGAAGGTTCTTTACCTGTCTTAAGAATTCTACATGCAACTTTAACCCATTCTCTTTGCAAGTGTAGTGGGAGTTTTAAAAACATGCATTCGATAGTCTTTGTAGAATTAAGATTGGATACATAGTTCATCTGCGCGAGTGTTAGCTCACAAATATGCATCTCACGAGACAGTTTTTTCAAATTACCTGGATCACTCCCCTTAATAGCAGGGATGTTCAGCATCAATAAGTGCATGGGCTACCATGTGCTTCTGACCAAATGCTTCCTTGAGAAGCTCTAGCGCTTTACGATAGCCTTCTTCTGGCTCGAGCAATGAACAATAGTAGCTTTAGCTTCACCATCACAATACTGGATCAAATAGTTTAACCTAGATCGGAATCCAACGCTCTCATCAAAACAGTCCTCAAAATTTCGTATGAAGCTCCAATAGTTCATAGGGTTGCCATCAAACCTTATGATCTTTTTCCTTGGTAGGTCTAAACCTATAGATATCATTGTTACCCAGTCCTTTCCAGGAGGAACATCAACTGCATGCGAGGCAGATGTAGACTCATACGTTATCGCCTTGTCAACCACAACTTGATTATAATATTTTCTTCCCTTTTGACGTAACCGTTCTAACTCAATTTCTCTTTCTGTCTGAGCTAAACGTACTTTAGCTAATTCTAACTCTAACAAGGGATCCATTCGGTAGGTATTTCCTCCGAGTTGGTCATCACTATGAGTTTCTGAATAGTGGGGAGACAATTCAGGGATATGACCAGTTTTATGATTCTCCGTAGACATTTAAAAGTACTCAATGTACGAATTCTTGATGAGATACTGTTCAGAACCAGATCTTGACGTTACCGGAGTCTCCTCATTCTGATGCGCTAGCGTCGTTGATTCTTGAGTCCCATGTTTCGTTGGTACGACCGTCTTCGAGTGGTTTGTACTTGTCGATTAAAAATTGCTATCGATGAAAGCTGGTTTCACTTGATCGATGCTGATTACATCTATCTTCCCAGCTTTTTCTACGGTAACCGTCTCCTCTGTCCTCGTAATCAATTTAAATGGAAAGTCGTAATTCGGCTGCAGAGGTGGTTGTACATTATCTCTTCTAATGAATATGTGAGTACAATTATGTAGTTCCTGCGGTATGAACACTCGTCGTTGTTGTAGTCTAGGGGTATTATTTTAAGATCGTTTATGTGCTTCTTCAAGCGTTGCACGTAGTTGGCTACATCAGTTGGAACACTTTTACATGAAGCGAAAATTTTTCCGGGTAAACGTAGAGTAGTCCCATATACCAACTCAGCTGGACAACATCCCATATCCTGTTTAATTGTTGTTCTTAGACCCAACATAACTAGAGGAAGCTTATTAGCCCAATTGTTGTTGACAATGACAGATATGAGGAACGCTTTTAACTGCCTATGCAGGTGTCCAACCATTCCGTTTGCGATTGGATGGTAGGATGTCGTTCGAATACGTTTAATTCCGAGGAGATCTATAAGCTGCTGGAAGAGTCGACTTTTAAATTGGGCTCCTCTATCGGTTGTGATAGTTGCTGGTACGCCATTGTAAGAAATCTAATTTTCGACTAGGGCTTTGGCTACAGACTCGACTGAGGCGTCTATTATCGGTACTGCTACAGGCCACTGTGTAAATCTATCGATGCATGTAAAAATATAGTTGTATCCATTCGAAACTGGCAGTGGTCCCACGATATCGATGTGTATATATTCGAATCTAGTGTCTGGGTGAGAAAGTAAACCGATTGCGGAGCTAGTATCACGATCTACTTCGAATTTTTGACACTTCCTGCATGCTTTTATCCAGTTACGCACATCGCCATTCATGTTCATCTATACGAAGCGTTCGCTAATTAGCTTCACCGTGGCTTTTATTCCCTGATGCGATATGTTGTGCATACTTTCAAATATTTTCTGTCGCAATGGTTTCGGTCGGCCTGTCGATATATGACTTATTACTTTCGTGCTACCGAACTGAAGCTCTTCGAATAATAATGATGTCGTCTCATCGGATCTTAGCTTGTTTAATTCGATGTCTCTATCTTTCAAATTTGTCAGACCGTGATAATCGATTTCACTTGTAATGAACGCGTTTATCGTTGTTTTTGATAGTGCGTCAGCTACTTCGTTTTCTTGGCCTTTAATATATTGTATATCGGATGTGAACTGGGAAATGAATCCCAACTGTCTGATTTCCCTCGGGGACTAATTATCTTGCTTTGCTCTTAGTGTTTTCGTGAGTGGTTTGTGATCCGTGTAAACAGTAAAATTTATACCTTCTACCACATGTCGAAATTGTTTTATTGACAAGTAAATTGCCAGTAATTCTCTCCCGAAAGTACTATATCTCGTTTGTGTAGGATTCAATCTCTTCGAAAAAAATGAAAGCGGTTCCCGCGTGCCATTTACTAACTGTTATAAAACGGCTTCTGCCGCCACATCCGATGCATCGGTCATGATAGCTAGTGGCGTTTCTTTGTTTAGTGCCTTCTTGGCGTTCTCGAATGCTTGTATCGCCTCTGCTAATAAACGGAATGTCCGGGCATGTCCCCGTAACGGGTCCGTCAGTGGTTGCAGTAGTGCCACACAATTCAGAATAAAGCGTCTGTAATAATTTATTAGTCTTAAAAATCGTCGTAACCTCTTCCGTGAGTCGGGTAACGGGTAATCTCTGATGACATCGACTTCTGCTGAGATTGACGTAATACCTTGAGAAGTTAGTGTGACCTAGGAACTGCAAGGATCTTTTTCCGAACTCACACTTCTCAACGTTTATGGAAATGCCATGCCCCGTAGTCACGTGAACAATTGTCGTAGCTGCCGCATATGCTCGTCCATAGTAGTGCTAGCTACTAGTAAATCATCGATGTACGCGTATACTCCCGTCAAACCTCTAACAGCTTGATCAATGAATCGCTGGAAGGTTTGAGCTGCATTAGTTAATCCAAAGGGCATTCACAAAAACTCAAATAACCCTAATGGAATGATTACAGCCGTTTTCGGCATATCTTTTGGCGCCACGGGAATGCGGTAATGAGCCCGAACAAGATCAATTTTCAAAAGGTCGTGGCACCTTCCATATCGGTAGTAATGTCGTGCATGTGCGGTACCGGATATCTATCTGCCATAGTTTGCTTGTTAAGGGCTCTATGATCTCCACATGGCCTGATTTCTCCATTCTTCTTGGGAACCATATGCAGCGGGGATGCACAGGGACTATTAGATGGCCTTATGATACCAAGTTCCACCAGTTCTTCGAATTCTCGTTTCGCAATATTCAACCTTATTGGATCTAGCCTTTGTGGTCTTGAGTTAGTCGGTAAACCATTCGTTATAAATGGGTCAACAATGCTTTTGTGACAATTGTAGAAGAATCAGTTTAATTAATACTATGTCTAAAATATTAGCCCCAATAGCGCTTCGTAGCCTATCTACCGGTCGTGTAAGGCGAACCCGAGAAAATCAGGCTGGTTTCAGATCGCTTGAACGCGGATGTACAGACTAAATATTCACTCTTCGGGAGATTCCGGAACAAAGACACACATTTTGACGCCCGACTATAGTTGTATTACTTAATCTCAAGGCGGCGTTCGACTCTGTACCAAGGTTTCCCAGTGAAAGGTGTACCAAAGGATGTACATTAACCTTGTACAAGCTCTACCCGATCATCATTGGTCGAGTTAGAGCTTGTAGCGAACTGTCATCTGAGTTCGTTACTCCAAACGGTATTGTCTACTTTTCCATTTTTTGTTTAACTTGATCATAGATATGCTTTTGGAGATAACACACATCATCTGACTTTTCAGGGATTGATCTATCAAGAAATTTACTTGTTGACTTAGAATACGATATGATATAGTTCTATTTGGTGAAGACGGTAACAAAATACAGAGTACTCTGACCACCTTAAGCAACAGTGCAGGAATGCTTGGGATGCAGCTCTTTCTCTTCGAATGCGGAATGTTGCTTTAGGATTGGCTTGCGTCATCACCTGAATTAATCATAGGAAGTGAAGTAGTTGAACGCATCGACCGCTTTACTTATCATGGGAGTCTCAGCAGTCCTGACGGTCTGTCGTCTGATGAAACCTCGGCACGGATTCGGAAGGCTCAATTGGCTTTACCGACTTGTGGGGTAGGGGAGATATCTGTTTCCCAACCAAAAAACGAGTTCACTCCGTCCTACTTTATGGATGTAAAACATGGCCATTAAGAAAAGAGGATGTTCGTAGGTTATTGGTACTTGGTCAAAAATGTCTTCAAAGAATTGCTTGTGTAATCTGGTACCACGGAGTAAGCAATCCCTGGGATAGGTATATGATACCAGATGAGGATGGGAAATCGATTGATGAGGCAGTAAACTTTCACCAACTGAGGTGGTTGGGACATGTGTTTGTATACCGAACTACCACTTACCTTTGTGGGCGATGTTGTTTGTTAAAGGATAGCCAAACCAAAACATGGCATTAGTCAATCCAGTCACTTACAATTGGAATTAGCCATGTCAGTAGGTATAGGCTGCCTGGTTGAGGTCTGTGTGCTTATCGTAACTATCGACTACAGACCTTGAATGACATGACTCAAAACCGTTTGGAATGGCTCAGGTGCATAAATTCTTTGTTTAAATTCTAAGATTACAAGTTTCTCATACCCTGTTTTGTTGTTTTTATCCCACTAATTTACATCTTTTCAAATCGTATCTTCGATGCCTAAACTTTCCTATTATTAGTATAAAAAGCCAAACGGTAGAGAAACAATCTTTTGAGCCACAATAACGCTTAGTAACTATCAAGGTGTAAAACACCTAGTGGTGGACTTCGAAAAACGAACGCAAATGGATCAGAGTCACCAAACTCAACTAAATTATTATGTCCTATTACTGATAAATCTTGATTCCATCTTACCTAGCAGTGATTGGAAAACAATCCCAAGTATTATTCACCCCTAATCTCCAAAACAAGACAACTCATACGCAACTCTTTTCCAATCAAAACATTTTTATACGTTTTCATTGATGGTATTTACAAAAATTTCTATGAAAGAAAGGAGTAGTAAAGACATAGGCCTGTGATAAGGAAGAACACTCAAAAGAATGTTCAGTACTAACAAAGGCGAGTAAGAAGCGAGTAATACGTGAGCAGAATTGTATTTCCGAACTCCAGTGATTGCTGGATCTACGGTCGGACTAGTGCGTAATCCTAATGCAAAGTCTTTATTATTCGAAAAATAGAAGACAAACTATTATGAGAATAAAATCCTAACGGTTTTATGCACAATCCAAAACAAATTCGAATATGGTGATAAGTTTATTTTCAAAAAATCTGTGCTAGAAGGTAAATCCAGCTGCTAGAAGTTCCTTATGTACTTTTTACACAAGCTCATGTGCTTTTACCCATTTCCAAGACTCTTAAAATATATTCTGTTTCTGATCCTTTTGGGTTCATGAGAAGTCAATAGCACTGGAAACACTATGCACGGAACAACATAGCACACATTCTCTCAACTGATACTCTTATAACCAAACAAACAAAATTAAACTAGCCAACTCATTTAACAGTTATTTGGGTAAAAGCTACACTCTAATTGAAAGATTTAATAACACTACGCAATCCCCCGGCCCGAAGTAGATGGAATGGGGTTTGGACCTTGGTTTTAGTGGCTGAAAATCAAACGACCTAACCATAAAGCCACTGCTTTACTACTGCAAAACAATGAGATTAGAAAACGTAAGATATATGTGCATACGCTTACTTCAGGAGCAGGACGTTTGTTTTGCTTGATGAAAAAACTAGAAGACTGCTTGCTAACATTCGACTCCTCATCTTTAAGCACACATGAAGCAGGATGTGAAGGACTAGTAGTTGGGGCAGTCGACACTACAATAGATTGCTGTAAGGAACGCGTAGTATGTGGAGGAGTCAGATTCAAGAAAGGCAGAGATGGGAATCCTGGAATGTCCTCAGCCATAATAGACCAAAGAGGTTGAAGCTGCAAAGTTTCAAGAGATTTATATGGAAAATCAATCTTTTGGCAAAGTCAGGTTATTAATTATAACTAATTATTACCAACAAAACGCTCTCAAAAAGTTCACAAAACATGGAGTCATGACCAGCAATATGACGAACAGCAGGATAGCACAACCACAAAAATGAATCAATAGGACAATGACAAAACAAACACTCGTCTTTGATGAAGAAAAAGAATACTTATGACTTCACACAATCACAATACAACGGTTATCTGACCTATGAAACAAAGTGCACACTTCAAATGAGCAAAACAATCATGATATAAAAATCAAGAATAAATCAGAAACCAGGTACAGACCTGCCATACATATTGTAGGAGGATTTGACTATAAATCCAGGTAGTTGAAAATATGGAACAGGTGCTCGGATTAACTCAAACTAGTATTATTGTGACCTTCCACATCTAGATATTATTACGGATTTTGCAATGTGACAATGTTACGAAACTTAAGTCTATGCCCATTAGCCTGGTACAAAACTATAGCATAATACAATAAATACCGTGATAACTACCCATATAATTGTCGTTTCCTGAGAAGTAAATGCTCTTTTCAAAGTTTCAACTCCTTTGTTTTTCCCTGTAACTGCCATTGTTAAAGTGTTGCTGTGTACGAATCGTCCACTTTATCTAATCGTATAGACCTGTTCTCACATTGAAGGTATTTTCCGATCGTTGCAATCAAATTATACAAATAACTTCGCGAAAAACGAAATATGACAACTATTTTCGAAAATTTATCTTGCAGATACATCTAATAGCAAAGCATTTTATACGTACTGATTTTTAATAACAGAAAAATATCAATATGTGTTCTGCAAATGAAAAGCACAGTATTCCAGTTTATCCGTAATATCGAAAAGGAAAATTTCTGATTATAATCATTTAGAAAATCCTGATTTCAATATGCTACTACTAAGTTGATCAACAAAAGAGAACTGAAAACTTGTTGAATACATAATTTTACGAAAAATAGAGTGAACTGATGTAAAGAATAGACAAATATTACTTGAAGCTACTTGAAGTGACACAGAGTTGTGAATGTTAAAGGTTGCAAATAAAATTACTATCTATTAGAACTACCAAAGTCGGTAAAATACTGTGCGCAAAAATAGAATTAAGATAAAATAATAGAAAATGTCATCCAACACTAATCATAAACTATTTACAATTCGAGGATGACAGTATAACCAATTATATACCAAAAAGGTTCTGATTAAACCGCATAGCCTCGTTTTTACTTCTTTGTTAGATCACCCTGAACCATTTTTGATGTAACTAACCAGTAGAAACAATTAAAACCGGACATATTTGTCTTATTTGATGAGACTTAAACACCAGAAAGGATTTAAAATCCAAAATTTTCAAGATGAACCTAGATGTTAGAGCTAATGTATACATCATGCCATGAACGTTAAGATATAGCATATTCGGACTCGTGATTACCACAAAATGCTAAACTCTCAGAAACGACAAAAGATGGTCAGTGGTACTTTCAGAGTTCGATAGTCTGAAATGACGAGATAAAATCATGTATTCACTCCTGATGTAATCCATAATCTAATATGACTAAATGAAAACACGTCTAAGAAATAATAAATAACTGTTTTTTCTCAGAGGGTCCATTCACAGTAGTAGTCTTCAGTGTCACAAACAAAAGACGAGTTGTACTGAAGTGAACAAAAATTGTGGGCAGTAAGTGTCCCACTTATGTCTTCACAATTCTAGCCACATGTGATAAATTCAGTGTGAAACAAGAACTAATTTGGATGATCAGACAAGAAAATTTGATTGGTGCTATATATATATATATATATATATATATATATATGTCAGTCAGCTACAACGTAGGACCAGGCACATATGTGCATCGGTCCAGGTTGCCATACCGCATCAGCACAACAAGATGAACACCGGATTCACAGCAGTGGTTAGGTCAAAGGTGGTAATATATAAGAGAAAGATTGCATATAGAGATATAGTACAAGAAGAAAGAATTGGTTTGTAGAAAGAAAGATATGAAGTGATTTTAATCTCTTAGTTTAAGGGAAGACAGGGAGTGTATACACCGACGCCATTGTGATCGATCCTGAGCCATGTCACCAAGAGTCTCCAACCATTGGTTACGATAGTCACGCGGACCCCAACCAAGTAGTCTGCATCTACCAACATAGCTCAGACTAGAAGTTAGTGGCTTCAAGCACTGATGCCACGTTTTGGTTTGGCCGCCCCTAACTTTCTTCCAACCATTTTCAATACCGGATAGCATTGCACGTCATGGTAATCGGTATTCAGGCATACGTAACACGTGGCCCAACCATCTCAGTCGATGAAGAATTACAACCTCATCAACTGATTTACCATCATTCCCTAATACCCTGCGTCTAACCTCACTATTACTTACCCGGTGATCCCAGCAGATGCCAGCAATATTTCTAAGGCATCTGTGGTCGAATACTAATAGCTTACGAGTGTCTTCCACTCTTAATGGCCATGTTTCGCTGCCGTAAATTAAAACAGAACGGACTGCCGCGCAGTATACTCGTCCTTTTATTGATAGACGGATATCTCGCCTTCGCCATAGGTGACGCAAGTTGGCAAAAGCCAAACGAGCTTTTCGAATCCGTGCTGAGATTTCGTCAGATACCAACCCATTAGGGCTGATCAGACTTCCAAGATAAGTGAAGTTGTCAACGCGTTCGACTACTTCACTCCCTATCCTTAGTTCAGGTGTTGACGCAGACCAGTCCTGAAGCAACAACTTGCATTTAGAGGGAGAGAAGCGCATTCCAAACATCCTGGCATTGTCGCTCAGTGCTACCAAAAGACTCTGCATTTTGTCAGCGTCTTCACCAAACAGGACTATGTCATCTGCGTATTCTTAGTCGATAAGTGGACCTCCTGGTAGGAGATCAATACACTTGACTTATTAATACCAGTTTCTTTTATTAGTCTGTAAAGCTGTCTTGTGTTCCCTATAGTCGCCGCCTTTTCCATCTCTTTTGTTTTCGTTGCCCACCACTGCTCACGGTCGTTTCTTAGACTTTTTCTTAACCTAGATCTGATTTGTTGTCGCACTTCATCATGTTCAGAACCTGATGGGACGAGTTTGCGAGAATCCATCAGTGTGATAGACTTTGAAGAAATCCACTGGTTCTTTAAAACTCTGTGGTTTAAGTCGCTAATAGATGTCACTGCTGTTTCCACAGCTGCTTGTATTTCATTCCAAGCAACATCTGGGTCATCCTCGTCTTCAGAACTGCCTAACCGTGACCTCAGTTGTTCCTAGAACCTACTTTTGGTTTCCTCGCTACTCAGTTCGGTTCTAATGCGTCTTTTTACTGAAGAGGAAGGTTGATTATGAATACAGTGGTCTTGCGTGCTGTTAGAGGTATGAGGGCGGTTATCACTTCCCGGTTGCCCACACCGTGGAAGGGTTCTTCTGGAGGTACCTGAAAAGGAAATCGGATTAGAAGTGGTCTCAGTGACCTGAGAGCGTGACCGCAATGCCCAAGGCACAACTGCTTGAGGCCGGTCGCGCACGACCTTTTCGTGGGAGGTTTTTGACGTGTTAGCTCCGTTCTTCAAAAGGGGCCTTACCGCCGGAGACGGAAATCCGTGAGGTAAGGTGAGGTGTGCATTTTTAGGGTCGACCTTTTCTAACCCCACCCCTCCTTGTGGGAAGGCAGCATCGCTGTCATGCTGGTTGTCTGAAGGAAACACCTTACTGCTGTCACACCTCTGTACAGTCAGCAGTACGACTTCGCCTTCGGACCTTGGGTTTGTTGCTTTTAGTCTTACCGCTCTTCAACCGACCTGTCTGACATGGTAGGACCTTGAGGAACGGTTGTTCCAGACAGTATAGCTCGGTTGCTTCATCACGATAGGCAAGCCCGACCACCACGTCAAGGTAGCAACAACGGTCGGGGATATATATATATATATATATATATATATATATATATATATATATATATATATATATATATATATATTCCCCTGGAAAAATAAGTAACAACCAGATGTACCAAAGCAAACTAAAAGGACATCAAATATTATCTTACTCAATCTTTACATCCTCTCTCTATAAAAGAATAACTAGAAAAGCTATGATGATATTTCAAGGAACTAACGCATTTTTATATGATTTATACTTACAAACTAAAAGGAAACATGAAAACTATACACAATAGCTACAAAATAAAATACACAATATTGAAGTAATTATCCAACTGAAACAAATTAAAGAATGGGTAAGGAATAAGGTAGAACTAGATAGACATCTGAAACCATTTTCGTCATGATGGGTTTATTCCCTAAGTTACAGTCGACGTAGAGCCTGATCCAAATGTGTGTTAGCCCAAGTGACCATACTATACCACGACAGAGATGAAATAAAAATATTGAAAAAAAACAGTGAAGGGATCAAAATGACGCAGTATCAATGAAAATGACTAAATACTGGGAATGATTCGAGAAGAGATGAAGAGGTATACAAGAAGAGATAATGTAAGAGCTAACAAGAATAACTGCGTCTTAACTACTACGTTAGGTTCTGAGTCATGTTATCCAGAATTTACAACCACTGATCGAAAATATCACGCATACTCCAACTACCCAATCGGACAGCTAGTTTTAGTTTTTTAATATGCAATTCCTCACTATGACCGCTTGACAGTAAATGATAAAGATCCAGCACTTACTTCACTAATGACGTCATGATACATCTCCCCAGCCATTCGGTGGACTTCGTGATTTTGACTATTGTACATTCTTGCATTCATAAACATTAGCAAAAGATCACGAATGAAACGTCTTGCGATCTCAATGATAACTCGATAAGAAGAAACAGATGGATTTAGAGCAGAAGGCTGCTGAGAACTGATCAAGTAACTGAGTGACGACTCCATACGGCGCCTAAGGGACGTTAAGTCCACTGGCTCATAAACAACAGTACTGTACCCGGGAGCTATATCTTCAGTTACAGGATGCATAAACACATAAGCATGACGATGGCTGTACACCGTAGAAAGTGCTGACAGAAGAGATCTTCTCCATCGTCGAGCCACACAAACTGATGACTGAGATGTATCTGTAAGTTCATCATTATTGAGATTGGTAGATATTGAGGGACTGAGAGCTATCAAATTTGAATATGAAAACGAATAAGTCATTATTAGTAAACGATAAAAGAGACATCAGCGTACGTCAATAAAACCCTCCTGAGATACAAATCTCTCATAATGAGTACAAGATACAAAATTGGATACATTATGAGTGTATCAGTGTGACCACTTCCACAAAAGAATGGTAAGAATGTATTGACTGAATAAAATTTATAACAATGAAATAAAATAATACCTGAAATGAACTCTCCCACTTGGTTTTGATAAACAGGAGCAGGGGTCGATATCTTCCTCTTTGTATGATTATGTTTTCGGTTCAGATTAACGGCTTTAAAGGATGGTGATTGAGTTTCCGCAAGACTTAGTGCAGGACTTGAATTAAGGCTCTGAGTAAAGTGTGGAGAAGCCAGTGTTTCTGAGTCACTTACAAGAGCGGAACTACTAGGAGTAACTGGTTCATCCAGGATCTCCAAACACTTGGAAGGGCTTGTTTGTATTCTTATTTTGCTTGAGTCACTATCTAAGTTATTAAGCTGTTCAGAAGCTCTGGGTGACTCTACGACTTTGACTTCTTGATTATGGCTAGTTGTAACCTTCAAAAGTAAATACGCAAGAAATCGAAATACAGATTACCATAGCGTTTATTCCTAAATAAACTTTCAACAAGTTAAATTATATGTGAACATAATCGGTGTGTTTATTTATTAATGTATTTCATAGTATTCGCAACTTCGTAAAAATATGTACATCAAACAAATGTCGCATTAGTGATTCTAATCAAGAACAGCAAGTATCAGTAAGTTGAAGCTGATAATAAACATGTTACAAAACGATTTTGGAATGAGTGATAAGCTAACGTAATACACACTTCTGAAAGGTAAAGCAGTGATCTAAATTCTTCAGTACATTATGCCTATATCTAGTTATAAATCGCATGTCGATGAAACTAAACATTTTGATGCAAAATATCACTAAAAATAGATACACAAAAAGAATGAATAACTTTGAAGTAAGCAATAATTTTAGTGGCTCTTCGGTATTTATGCCGGATATACTATCAAATCACAATAAACCACAAGAAAAAAAACAGGAACGTTTGTATATGTATACCTCTGAGCGAGTCTGGATGGATGATGTAGTATCTAGACTTGAGATTTCATCATCATGTGCTTCGAAACCCAGTCTTTGTGAAATAATAGCTATCAAAAAAATGAGATAAAATAAAATTCAAAGAAAATAGTGAAAGTGATTTGTAAAATAAGTAAGTAGAAGTCTAGGACATGCTCACAGAAACCATACTTAAGTTACTCTAAAGGTCAATTATTGATCCCACAAGTCCTGGGTTCGATCCTTGGTGTAGTTGTGGGTGTATATCCCACACGAATTCGATATTAGAAAAGAAATGTTCAGTACCTCCTGGTATTTTATGTCATCTCAACAATTATTCGTCTGACAGAGAACACCTACAAATATCCTGATGAAAACATCTGGTGAACACAAAATGTAGGTGTATCAAGTGGGTTAATTTGGGTGATCCACTCGTGTTCTCAAAGACTTGTGACTCGCAATTAATCTCAAAATAAATGCAACAGTACCGACTATTCAGCTTTAATCACCTCAAGAATGGGATACTACACATAAAGCACTACATTAAAAATACTTGCCGAACATTGTAAGCGACAACTTAGAACTATAGCATATTGTGATGTGGTCAGTTTCAAAACGCTTTCCTAACACCCTACGTCCAACCTCACTATTACTTACCCAGTGATCCCAGCAGATGGAAGCAATATTTCCAAGGCATCTGAGGTCGAACACTAGTAACCTACGAGTATCTTCTACTCTTAATGGCCGTTTCGCAGCCATAAAGTAGAACAGGACGAACAGCTGCGCAGTATACTCGCCCCTTAATTGACAGATGGGTATCTCGCCTTCGTCATAAGTGATGTAAGTTAAGAAAAGCTAGACGAGCTTTTCGAGTCCGTGTTGAAATTTCGTCAGACACCAACCTATTAGGGTTGATCAGACTTCCAAGATAAATGCTGTCGACATGTTCGACTACTTCACTCGCTTTCCTTAGTTCAGGTGTTGACGCAGGCCAGTCCTGGAACAACAACTTTCATTTAGAGAGGGAGAAACGCATCCCAAACATCCTAACACTGTTGCTCAGTGCTAACAAAATACTGAATTTTATCAGTGTCCTCACCAAACAGGACTATGTCATCTGCGTATTCTAAGTCGATAGGTGCACCTCCTACAAGCAGATCAATCCCCGATAATTCAGTCGACAAAAACGTTGCATCCATCACTAAGTCCATGATGGAATTTAACAAAAATGGAGATAATAAACAGTCTTTTCGGACACCTCTTGACGTTGCAAAATTAAATGACAGTTCGCCAAGAACTTTGACTCGACTGGTAGTGTTCGAGTAAAGAGCACTCACAAGGTTTAAGCACTTCTGAGGTACGCCTTTCAGTGACAGACACTGCCACAGCACCTCCTGGTCAACAGAGCCAAATGCTGTTTTTAAGTCAAGAAGACCACCATTGTCGGACGCCGATAAGCACGCCTGTGTTCTAGAACCTAACGAATGGTGAATATGTGGTCGATGCAGCCACAACCAGATTTGAAGCCAACCTGATTTTCTCGTGTTTGCAGTTCACGAATCTTTGTTAGGCACCCAGTAATTATTTAGGCTAGTATTTTAGATGCCATGTTAGTTAAACTAATCCCTCTATGGTTATCACAGGATGACTTTGACGCCCTTCTCACACATTGAGACCAATCAGATGTGATTATGTTCAACTCCCAAATTTTAGCTAAAATATTAGTCAACATAACCGCTAGAACTGGACCACCATTCTTAAAGACCTCTGTAGTTAATCCATCTAGAGCAGCTGCTCTTTCTCGTTTCAGAATAGCTATAGCCTTTTGAACTTCAGTGAAGTCGGAAGGCCTACTTCAATGCTTTATTAAGGCTGTTTAGAAATGGTGAGTAGTTGTAGAGTAGCTGAAGGCCAGCCGAACTGCCCCTTAAAGTGTTCCGTTCATCATTCTAAACGTCTGGGCTGAAAGTAGATAAGAGCGTTAACATTTTTCCAAGTCGTTTCACTTACGCTTGACTTCTTAATTCGGGTTTCTTTTATTAGTCTAAAAAGCTATCTGGTGTTACCTAAAGCCGCTGCCTTTTATATCTCTTTTGCTTTCGTTACCCACTACTGCTCACGGTCGTTCCTTAGACCAACACAGTATATTCAAAATATCGTCAAGTCTGCATGCATTTTATAATATCTTACAAGAGAATAAAGGGTCTGGATCTTTATGATGAGAAACAATATGCTTGGTTGGTTTCGCACTCTTTCACATATCTTAAGAATGATCACTTTCAATCTCATCATTAGGTTTAAATGTCACATACGGATAGACTCAGCGCAACTCTATTTCTTTTGCTCGATAGTTAATGGATGAAAGTTTTGAAAAAGACAAACAACTGGTTCCTTCGATTAATGCACTTATGAAACTGGACTTTACAGGAAATGAGTTACTGCGATGCATATCTTTAGTTAAAAATTGAAGGCCAGGTATTCATACCACTGCATAAATTAGTGCTTTAGACCAAATATGTTTGTAAAGGACTTTGAGAAGGAATCACAAAGATGGGTAGTGCTTTAAAAAGACAACAAAGACTCCGACACATAAGCAATAGAACTCAAAAGTAGGTAGCAGGAGATATTGCTCTAGTGTTTTTTTATAGGACTTGTACATAAACCCCATGTTTCTACGGGAAAAATGCATTCTTAACGAGTATTCTTGATAAGTGTTACCTTGAGCACGTATGAAGTTGGCTAATGATGATTCCTGAATGTAATCACATCTCTCTTCGAATAGCCCGTAAATAAAAGGGGTTCCGACAGGAATCCAGATACCACCATTCTGGTCAATTGTTTCTTTCTCAATTTTAGTATTTGGATGTTGTAGTGTAGTGGGAAGCTTCTTGACAGTTCGGTCATTTTCCTCTGAAACAGGAGACAACGGTTCCATATTTAAACAACGACCTATTTTGTCCGGAATCCCGAGTGCACGACATCTTTTTCTATAGCTGAAGAGAAATAAATATTAGTAAGGAGAGCTCACGTCAGTAACCGGTCTGGAGGTATTTCAGAATATCGGCCTTGTCGCAACTTTTCTGCATCCTCTTCCTCAATTCTAAGAGTTGACAATAAACCATCATTTAAGTCTCACTTTATAGCCCGCAAGATCTCCAACCGAGCAGCATGCAACTGCTCACGTCTCAATGTAGTATAATGATCTAGTGAAATGTTTAAGAGTTGGCTCTCTGTTAAATCGCCTGGATTTCTAGAGAACTTTCAACCAATCACAAGAGAATAATACCTTTGACGTGCGGATGCTATAATATATTTATATTGAAGCGAACAACTCTGTTTATAACCAATGATTTCAAATATAATAATTACCTGTTTTGAGAGATCCTGTACATTTTCATCTTTCAAGAACGTCTTGCAAGACGTTCTTAACGACTCACTGACAAGGTCCCAGTTTTTTCCATGTGTGAGAACAGCGCGAAGTAGGTAACAATTAGCACCCACAGCCCAATTCATTTGTCACATCTACTTACTGCTCTCATGTTAGCCAACCTTGAAAACAAATCGGGTACCTGTTAACAAAACATTCATGATCCAATTTCATGACTTTGTTAACGGACATTAAAAGTTGGTTGACCAACAGCATGATTTTCTCTTGGGATTCAGCTGCCTCTTGAAAACTTTAAACAGTGAATCTGATGCTACTTGTTGGGGGAGGTTGTTTCAACCTGTAACACCCTATAGGATACAAATTTTACTGGATAAAATTCTGCACCTTCAGTCTTCAGTATTCAGTAGTAAAGATAGTACGTTGGCGAACCTGTGTTAATCCTGACGGATTGCTTTCCAGTGAAGGTCCAGCTTCTCTATGAAAATATTCACTGATTGGGCTGATACCACTTGCTCGGTAAGGCGTTTCAATATTGACTACTCGATGAGAAAAACGGGACACCACTTTAAGTTTATTAGATCGCGGTTTGTGAACCTTCTTGCTATGACCTCGGAAATTATTAGTGCTGGAGGGAGCAAAAGGATAAGACATATTAACACCTAAATCATAATTAAAGACACGAAATGCCAGTATATGGTCACCACGCATCCCACGATACGACAAGGGGAAAAGGTTTAGGTGTTCTAAACGCTCACCGTAAAGCAGTCTAAAAAGACCCTTCACTAATTTCGTTCTCACACGCTGCTTAGATACAGTACTCTAAATGTGGTCTTACATATATGGGATATAAAATTCGAAACGTCTCCTCGTCAAAAGATTTGAACGCTCGGCGAAGTGACCATAACGCACGAAAACCTTTGACAGCGGCTGCTTCGCAACGCGTAGTTGTTTTTAAATCATGACGTATTACTACTCCCAAGTCTTTATATTCTTGAGCACGTGGGAGAGGTTCACCCTCAATAGACATTTCAGGAATATTTACAGAACTGCCCTTCACAGTGATTATGCTCTTATTAAGTTATTGTGAATGTAAAATAATCTAAAGAAATAATACCAATCACAATAAGTTTGTGAATTCGATAAGACTTAAGAAGGAACTCGAATTTGAAGCACGCAGTATGAAATTATATTATGTTGTTACAACAGATTCAAACACAACATAAAATATATAGTTGTAGAGTAATTTTATTACTTATTCACTACAGACACTAATTTTAACTATGGATACTCTTGCTACTTATAAATATAAATGTGAATACCTGACATACAGATAATTACTATACATCTACTAGTCTGCACCGTCTAATAATTCATATTCACTAACAAACGCAGATCAGCTACTTAAAGATGATTGTGAAAATCATTTCAAATCAATATTAAACAATTGGTGAAATGATACATCTTTATAATTCACTAATGATTTACTCAACTAAATTTCAGATAGGTTAGCCTGTCTATAAAAATTACAAACTGTAAATGAAAAGTTGCATTACATTAATATTTGTAGAAATTCTTACTAGTTATTAAGCAAGTAAACATCATCTTTGTATGCTATATATGATAATCATACAGCAGATAAATAAATAAAGAGCTGTTTCTATCGAAAGCATAAACTGAGTGACGAGAAATAAAGTAAAGATTATAAAGTCAGTTTGTTGGGAACTTCTAAATGGAGGCCAAGTCATGTTATCTTTGAAAGAACTTTTTTGTCAACAATGAAAAAGATATTATGTATGGCATAGACATACAAAACTCATGATCTCAGACCACCCTCGAAGGTCCTTGCAACATAGATAAGGTGACGTACTGTGCTAAGTTTCGAATATCTTATCTGATCATCGGAACAATTCTCGCTGTTTAGTGGTAACATCTCCAATAAATACAAATACCTTCATCATTAGTTCTTTCGGTAAACTCAAGAATTTCATTTTGTAACTGAGTTTATCTGTTCGCTACATCCGTTTCTTCACTGTCATTACTGAACATAATTACATCCAGGCATACATTTAGGGAAGAATCATTTCTGTGTTTATAAAACTTTTACATTTATTGGTCTGTAGAAATAGGCAGTGTGATTTTATGATTCCCATAATAATAATTAACTGTGTTAAATGGAAAATTCGGGTAAAACTCAGAAACTGGATCTAGATCGTCGGATGCATCGGTGAAAGCATATAGTAAACTTCCCAGTATAATGGGTGATGGTAAATGTATTTTGCGACCAATTTATAATTTGACAGACATCAATGGATGTTTTAGTCCTAAGTAAATGACATAGTCCTTTAACTCCCAAAATTCCCGATTGCTATAGATCACGACCTATTTATGTACTTTTTTCCTTTATACATGCAGTCAAAACCTGCTTCCTAAAAATAAGCGGAGTGCACAACACAATGCACGACACATGATTTGAACTGTACATGTTTACTATCCTGTGAGTTAGCTCCACGATGTCCATATTATTTTGTATTAACAACATTCCACATGGTTAAAAAGCCTTCATCGACCTTTCTATTTAACTAAGGTTAATTTGTGGATGATGAAAAATTGGAGGGTTGTCATCTTCAATTGTATTTTAGTAGATAACAAACTTACACAGGAGTAAATTTATATTTATCTTTTGGTATATTTCGTATATATCAGACAAAGAAAGAATTGATTTGTTTTAAATGAGGTATCCTATGAGTAAATTATCTGTAAAATTCAGTACATGTTCCCGCTGATAAACATTACGTAGTATGTGTACCTGATAAAAGATATAATGTGCTTCCAGAAAGCTGGGTTATAGTACATTGTCTGGGGCTGGGCTATCCCCAGTAATGAAGAATCACACAGATATCCTCACGAAAACAATACCTCGGAAGAACCATAAAAATCTGCAATTACTCGAGAAAATTCTCCCATCATAATTTTAAATTCTGTTACCACCCCCTTCATTGTGGCATCTAGTTTCACCATCTCGTATATATATCCTTTTCGTCATCCTTGTAGTTACCATCAATAACTACGATATCTGGGCATCGACGGGCTGATGATAACATATTGATCTTCCTATATTTTAACTAATACATGCAGGCAAGTGTTTTATTGATAGAAATATGATCTGTCTAGTACATCGTAGTGTGGTACAGTGAAACCCATGTAGCTTTGTGTATGCATTTAAGTGGAATATTGTGCCCCCTATAATCAATTTGCTGAACACACATCAGTTTGCAAATCTCTCTTCATTCTCATTCCTTTCTGCCAATCAGTGCATGCCGTTACATGATATCTTCATATCCTGCATTGTCCATTCCGACTTTGTAGTTTAGGTCTGGCATCAGGATGGTGAAGTCTTTTCTTGAGTGCTTCGTTGTGATTCATTGCAGCGTCTCATAGAACTGATCTTTATTGCCGTCGTTGCTATCATTAGTGGGTGCATAACACTAGATAACATTCATCGTGATTCCTTCCTTATTTGTTTTGAATGATGCTTTGATGATCATGGATCTGTGAAATTCCCATCATATGAGTGCATTTCGTGCTTGTTCGGACAGTATCAGCGCAACTCCCTGAGAGTGTGGAGCATTTTCCTCTTCGTGACCGCAGTACGGAAGCATCACACTCGTATCTAGCCTTTCCTGTCCAGCTTATGTCCGATGGCTTTCATTGATTCCGAGTGCTGCCAACTTGTATCCGTTCATTTGATTAGTCCTCAGGGCCTCTCACATTGCCCGGACATTCCATGTACCTATATTAACTGTTGCCCTGGTTGTTAGAAGGGGCATCGGCCTCGTGGCTTCCGAAGATCTCGGCATTCAATATAAAGCGTCATAACTCCGCCTTCGGCGCTCAGGACAGAGTTCAAGTAGTTTCACTTGTTTATTCTGGTTAGCGTTTTTTAGCAAGATTGTTTTCTACGGAATGGGATCGCCGATCTCACTTTTAACCTCCCCTTTAACCCGGGACCGACAATAACTCTAGGAGAGCTACACATGTAGTCGCTGTTCTTACGAGCCTACAAACAATCTCGAATGCAAGCTCATCAGTAAAATAACTGCCATTTATTGTGTATATTTAAGCGATACTGAACAAAAAGACAAGAAGTTAGGCCGTCCATAGTGAAATTTGTTCATGATCTGTATCTTGCAACAAAATTGGATTCTATAGTTCTAAATTATCAAACATTATAATCTAATCGTTTGTTTTCAGAGTAGAAATTCCAACTTAATCAAATCAAACGTTAAAATACGGATGGTTAGCTGAATGAAGATTCCTAGTGCGTAAATAAATATCTCGTTAGCAATTCAATCGGTGTTGTTTGCTTGCATCTTCCTATTGTTGTTTAAGACTACAATTGATCAGTCTCTTGTTGGCATATGTGCATCCCGTGTGGATCGCCCAGACATTGTCTTAAGTCACAAGTTCTTAAGCAAAGATGGATGGTGTCTTGTAGTGGAATCAAGGACACGCGTTTCGTCATATTTGGGACTTGTCAGATGGACTCAGTAGCTAAGTCGATAACGCGATGGCGTTTGGAGCGAACGGTAATGGGTTCGAGTTCGGGGTGGAACATCTACTCCGAGATGAAAATACACCCATCGTACGCGTCCCAAATAGAGAGAAACGCGAGTCGTGGATTCCACTGCTTCAACGATCCATTTTTGCTTAAGAACCTCGTTAACAAGTTGTTGTTTGATGCCATATAGTGATAAGAAGATCCTTTTTTTATACATTTACTGTACATCAGTGATGTCTTCAGGAATTTATTAAATATCTCTACAGTCAGTATAATGCGAACATCATCATTTATAACCAACCAATTATTTCCTTCATTTTCCTCTACAGTTTTATGATTATAAGAAGACAGTTCATGTTCTTGTATAATGAAATGTATTACTCTACAAGTACAGGCTGTAGTGACTCACATTTATTACGAGAACACGACTGGTTTAATAAAAGCAATTATTATTATAACCAACCGTACCAGTGTTTGTTTTAACGTGCTTTTGTTTGACTGTACTAATGACAGCTATTTTGTGCTTCCATTCTTTTACACACCCTTCGATTGTAACTTCGCGTGAAT